AGCTCAACCTAATGTTAGTATTTTGGCCATAACTTTCTTTGTAGATGTCAGATTAAAGTGATTCTTGATTCTATAGAATGCTAAGACATAGAGTTACAATTTATTTGTTGATCACTCAACCTAGATTAGTGAATTTCTAGGTGTAAATTCTGTTGGAATTTTCAGTTCGAAATCTGACCAAAATTGCACTCAAAAGTACCCAGAAACTTGCTTTGTTTTCTGCTTTATTCCACTGTTTTTTTTTTTTTTATCAGCCAAAGAAAACTTGCTTTATTCCACTATACCTATTGCCATATTAGATTATGATTTTACTTGATTTTTAGCTGTTGTTTTTCTACTCTAAAACCCTTTGTTATTACTTTATTTTGGCTACCCTTTTTGCTGTTACTTTTCTACTTAAATGTTATTCATTTTTGGTCCGTTTTAGCTTGTGTTCTACCCTATTTTTACTGCTATCTTTTTCCCATAAATCCCTACTATTCAAGGCTTATTCTAAACATTTTTGGACTATTTTAAATGGCAGAAACCCCCACCTTGTTGCCTAGAATTTCTGTTGTGGCTAGGATAGTTTTGAGCTAAGTTTCTCACACTTTTTCTAGTTTATTTTATTCAACAAATCTACCTAGTAAACCTGCCATATATAGGGTCTTTTGTTGCTATTTAACGTATGTTTTAAGTATGATTATGCATAGGAATATATATATATATATATGCATATATTAATAGGGGGTTTCAATGGATAGAAGTGACCGGGAAGTGTAGAAGGAAGTTGTTTCTTTGAGTAGCAACTTCATTTTGGAATTAGGAACTAATTTAGTTAAATGGAGTATATTGTAATCTTGTTTGTTCTTTGATGTAGCTTAGGTTCTAAATCACCTTCATTGTCTTGAGATCTTGAATTCTTACTTGTTCTGTACCTATAAGGCGAGATAAGTAATACTATGGTAAATGCCCTTGGATTTTAAGATAAAAGTTTTAAAAGCAAAATTTTAAACTATTTTTGAAGTGATGGCGGGACTAAACCTCTTTTACTCAAACTCGAGCATGATTGGCTAAAGTGAAGTTGTTATTATTTTTGTTGAGTTGAGAATGCCGACATGGAGTTTACTTGTTGTTCTAGAAATCTAAAAATTTGTTTGTAAGTTATGACTTTCCTATTAACTATGACATAATTGTAAACTATGGGTTTTCCTATTGAACTTCTGCATGGTTTTGTCTCCAATATGGTCATGATTATTAAAGCCTTCCAATCGAAGTTATAAACGCTAGCACATGTCGACATGTATTTCTTAAGGGTCGGTTCATCCTGGCAATGGGATCGTACATTGGTATTTATGTTATCCTATTAGTGAGAGAGTACACTAGTATCTTGCCAATGGAATCATACATTGGTATTTTTGTTATCCTGCTAGTGGGAGAGTACATTGGTATCCCCTACCAGTGGTGTCGTACATTGGTACTTTTGTTATCCTGCCAGTTGGGATAGTATACTAACCCTAACTAAAATGTTTATCTAGTATACATTTCAATATACATAAATTATTTACAACTGCGATTTTCTTCCTGTTTAAAATTAAAATGTTTATCTAGTATGCTTTAAATCTCAGTGAAGGCTATCCATATTTTTATTTACTTAGTTATCTAACGTAAATTTTCCTCATCCACTATTTCAAGTAACGAGACCCAGGATAGGGGAAACCAAGGGGAGTGACGAGCTAGAAGGCTAGCCACTTGTATTCTAAACCCAAATTATTTTGGAGTTAGGTCGCTAGTCACATATATTTTTGGACATAGATTTTGGAAAGTAGATCATTTTTTGTACACTAGATCCCCTTTGGAGATAGACATGACCTTATTGATGGAGTTGTATAATCTTTGTGCACTTTGGTTATTAAAGCTAGATTTTATTTTGAGATATTGATCTTAGTTAGTGGACTGCCAGATATGAATTAAGTAGGTTCCAAGCCTTGTGCATTTGTAGGATCCTTTCACAAGTGTACGGTGTCTGTTTCGCTCCCAGTTTTGGGGCGTGACAATAGGCTGAGCTAGATCCACATTCAGAAATGTGGCGTCAATTAAACGCCTTGCAATTGCTTAGTTGGAAGGGTTGCTAAAGCTATAACCCTCAGGGTACTAGAGCTAAGGTGGGAAGCTCTTTCCTCTCCTATGAGTTACAACCATAACCTCATTCATAATAAGAACTGCTACCTCAAAAAGATGAGGGATGACCTCTGGCACTTTTTGTTGTTGTTGCTGTTGTTGTCACTTTTCCAACCTATACCATTTTTGAGTTGCAACCTCTTTTTGACTTCTTTTTCTCACCAGCTTAAACCTGGCAGCTTGGACAACTCGGTCTCCAACTGTTGGTTAGGTAGAGGTAGCAACTTAACGTGGAGCAGAACTCCTGACACCTGTCTTTTCTTCCACTGCTGTAACTATAAGGCCTTTAGATTTCTTCTTCGAGAGCATAGCATTCCCAGCAATAGCGCATAAGCGATTCATCTCAACTACAAAACAAATAAAAGTTAAAATTTTTATTAGAACATAGTTTCAAGTAAAACAAATTTAGTAAAAACACACCTTCGCTAAGTAAGCTCACTTCGTAGAGCTTGGCAACGTCAATAACATCCGAGCTTGTGAGGTATATACTGTCTATTACATTCTCACCCTCCCTCATTAACTTTTCCACCTCTTCTAATTCGTCTACATTCAAACTATTTTTATTAGGGTTTGCCTTTTTTGGTTTCCATTTACACAGAGCTTCTCCTCCACCTCTTGCTCACTTGACTCAGTTTTAGAAGATTTTATTTCAACATCTTCATCTCCACCATGACCCATGGGCCAAACTTCTTCACCTTCCCTAATACTCAATGTTTCTTCAAAAGACATATCTTCTATTTTGTAACTACAAAGAGTTAGTGGTGGAAAATAGTTTAGGTCTTCCGCAAGTTCAATCTCACGTTTTACCTCACTTTCTAATATAACTTTAACCTCCCTAAATGGACCTAAATCTAAGTCAAAAAGAGTTAAAGGCAAACTAGATTCTTCACTTAACCTAAATGCAAAGCTCATAAAGAGTTACATGTCTCAACGAACTTGGCCTCTAACACTTGGAAAAAAGTTGTAGATGATTGCTTAGCACAAACACAGGCAAGCTTGGACACTTCTATAACTCTAGTAAAATTTTGACAGCACTTCAGTAGCAATACAACAAGGTAACTCAAAAATTATCTAAGTGTGACTATTTATATTAGCATCCCATAGACCTCAATAGTTATGATCAACCCTATCTAACGATTGAGATTGCACCCTTTTGAATACGACAATTATTCTCTATGACAGTAATTTATTACAACACATTCTTCGATGACAATTGTCAGTTGCATAATAACTTCTTCTCCAACAAATTAAACATGCACATTTAAGCCTTACCCAGACTTTCTAGCTACAATTCAAAAGCAATATGATTTCAATTCCACTCATGAGTTTTTATCTTGGCTGCAGCCAACAACACATGACTACGTGTCATGAATTTTTATCTCAGCCCCAGCCAACAACACATGACCATGTGTAATTTTTACCTCAACTGCAACTAAAAACATAACCTCCTATCCTAGATTCCTATCCCCACTCCAATTAATATCAAATACTATAATCCCATTCTAGCCTACTTTGATCTTCTACTCAATTCAATATCAGATACTATAATCTCTTCATTCACAAGTAAATGCTCATGGGTGTGGGGCTGGGGGAGGGAATAGTGTGTGTGTCCAAGATCATTGATCTCATATATATTGTGAACATATCATAAGACTACTACCCTCCTCCTATACTTAGATTCGAGCTCAATTCATTCATCAATCGAGGTATGACCTAGGTTGAAGTCTTCCCAGTTACATGATAGCTTTAGTAGGGTCACACTTACCCAACTCCATTTCTAAAATGTCCGCTCTGATAGCCATGTTAGATCCTGATTATTTCATTAAGAAGGCCACATGAGTATCTCATTAAAGCCTATAAATACTCACAAGAGTCACTTGCTACAGGTAATTGAAACCAACCTAAAACTTTTATTTCCATTCTCCTTTCAAATAGATCAGATTATTACTAATTTAAATATTAGAGTATCTACCCTGAGGTACAATTTTGGGGCTTTGCAAGTCTGTTTAAAGAAGACTTGGATTGAGGAGGATTTGAAGGCTTGTAACAATTACAAATTCCATAACCTAGCATTTTGATGTATATTTCTAGATTAACCAAAATAAAACTAAAAAAAAAAAAAAATTCAGATGTCATATTTTTCTAGTTTTAAGTTTTTGTATTAAAAATAAAATTTCCAAATATTCACTTGACCAAAATACTACATGTTTTTTGTTACAAACCCAGAATATAAGATCGAGGCTCAAGTTTTTTAATTTTCAGATTTTATTGGCAATACAAAAAAGCAAAAATTAAGCATAAAATCAAATCCCAATCGCAAGATAGAGGTGACCTATGTGACATCTCACCTAGCATGTGATTGTTAGATCTGATATTAGGGAAGAGTGTTCTATTTTACTCGTTCATTTAAGTTCCAATACACAAAAGTCCTAACAGTCTGTTGAAATAACTTGTACAAACAAAGAGATATAGAGCCTCTTGACCAAATAACTTCTCCCATAAAATAATGACCATCATAATAATTTAAATACTATAGTTATTTTTTTAAAATAACTAGGGTATCACGAGCATAAAAAATCTCCAAAGAAAGTGACAGACGAAAGTTGATATCCTTGGGATTATAATTAATATTATTGTAAATAATACACCTATATATAGCCAATAAGACCGATTGTAGAAAATGTGTGGCCCCACAGCATTGAAGTTATGAGTTCAAATTCGGCTTTGTGCTTTAGTGTATATTTCATATGGGAAGAAAATAAAAGACATCTATGAGGAAAAAACATTTCTTTAGTATCTCCAACAAAAATTTCAGTGAGGCCACCTTCTCTCTTCCTTGCATGACATGTTCGCCTATGACAACATTATGCATTTTTGCCTCGTCAAGTGATGTTTGGCAAAGACTTTTCTCACATCCGCTCAACAAGGATGAGGGATTCGGAAGTCCAGTACTATGGGGTGTGGGCCAAGCAACCTCTTTCGAATGAGTTTACCGACTAATCTGCAACATTTGTCTCAGAAGCCAAATGGTGATTTTCTTCTGCTTCCACCTTCTCCATATTGTTCATTCCATTTCCTCAGCTCATTCATGCTTGCAGCATCATAAGCAACAGAGGGGCCCACCTGAACACATCAAAAGGTTGCATTAGATTAATCTTGTTCATAAATGAAAGCACTACAAACACCACTTCAGCGTAATTTGTGCTTGTTAGATTTTGACCGAGGTTTATCATCATCAAATTATCAGTTTCAATACTAAGAATTTAGGGACTTAGCAAACTGCACGTTCTTTATAGAACCCATAAAAACACACTTCCACTAACAAAAATAAATAATACATTTCATATGGTGAAAGACACAGACGTGAAACTGTGAAAGCAAAAGTAGCATCAACTAATCTGAGATGTTTGTTCACATGATGGACATACATATATTGTTGCAGAAATGTATGCGTTACCTTGGCTTTTGAGTGAATAAAATCATCCAAAGAAAGAGGTCTTAATACTGGTGGTGCACCATCTCTGCCTTTCTGCAAAATTGACTGATATCAATGGGAGGAATATCTGGTACAGTGAAAAACCCAGTTGTTCTAAGCAGAAGAGCCATTATTTCATTTTTCATATTATTAGAGCTTTGGAGCATGTGAGAAATGCAGGTAGGATGTCCAAATTAACACAGAATATAAACATGACAAACTAGTCATTTATCTCTAACGAAAAAATTTGGAATGCCTTTGTCCCAAACACAAAATAAAATCCTGTCAGAGACCTATATGCCCAAGAAGGTACCTGCTTTTCTTCTTCTAAAATTTCTTGCACAGGCCTGTATGCTGCAGCTATACAGAGGTTCTGCACATTAACCAAGTCAGGAAGAATCAGCCTGCATGCTATTCAACATTTCTAATTGACATTAAAAACAGTGCATTACCTTCAAATCACTGCCAGAATATCCCTCAGTTTCATTTGCAAGTTTTTCAAAAGGGAAATGAGATTCTAAATTCTCTTGTGCAAGAATTATTCTCAGTATCTTCAGACGATTTCCAGCATCTGGAAGGTCAACATATATCCTACAAAACCATCCAGAAAAACTCTAAGTAGTGAAGTTTACTACCACAAATACAGCAGAACAGCGACATTGGCTCCCAGAGCCTTGGGAGAATTAACCATTAAACTATTAGACATAATGTTTACTTAAGGGAAGGGCAGCATTTTTTATTGCAACATTACCTTCTTGGTAAACGGCGAATCACAGCATCATCAAGGTCAAATGGACGATTTGTGGCACCAAGAATGAGGATTCTTTGGCTGTCTTTTGACCTCAGTCCATCCCAGGCTGCCATGAATTCATTTCTCATTCTTCTAGTTGCCTCATGTTCAAAAGCACCACCACGAGCACCCAGCAAACTATCAACCTGAGATAAAATTGAATTCCAAAATGATGATCAACAATCATCACTCATTTGAAGTAAAATGTTTGATGATCTTAAAGGACTTGTATTCCTCATAGATTGTTCAATATTTTATACATAATACATGTACATCTAGAAGGCATACTTTTGCATGAATTGCAACCAATCCACCTTTAGACATTTTCACAATAGGTATCTCAATTTGTAAAGCTTTTCTTTCAGTACATGGTCAATGGTCTTTCATTTCCAGCATTTTTATCTCTAAAACAATGGCACAATAAAGGATTATCCAAGACCCACGTTGCATGTTGATAAGATCACTAAGTCACTATTATATGCTACAAAACATGGCCTCATTTTCTCTTGTTTATTTATTCTTACTTGGAAGCAGGAGGTTGAAGTGAACTACCCATTCTCAAGGAAGGAAAATAGATATTCAAAAATATAATTATATTGACTTTTCTTCTAAATTCTATTCATCTTATTTTTGTGCCATTTTCAATGGTTATACAATTGCTAACCATTCAAAGAATTGTAAAACAAACTCACCTCATCAACAAATATAATAACTGGGGCCAGCTTGCTGGCAAAGGAAAAGAGAGCCTTGGTAAGCTTTTCAGCATCTCCAAACCACTGTAAGGCAAAAAAGTGTAAATAATTTTACTTATGCCGAAATTAGAAAAGATAAAACTTCATAGTAACTTAAAGAAACCTTCAAGTTTTTCCCTAAAGTTTTCCCACTCTGAATAAAATTATACCAAGTTTCATTTGTACAATTAACAGCAATGTTATGGACCCAAAATCAACCAATATGCACACAGTTTTCCATAAAAGTATAGTTAGAGAACATGAAGGGAGAAATTGAAAGGAAGAAGTTTTTTATACAACTGTCAAAGAATAAAGTAAACCAGAAACATGCAGAGACAATCACAAGGCCAATTCCTGATATCCAATCATAGGACTGAAAATATGCAGCATAAAAACTGTCTTCTCCAAATCTTTTCCCCGTAATGACAGGTTATTCTCTTTTTTTGGCCTACAACAGGTTATTTTCAAATACTCCAATTTAGTGATGTTACCAATTCTATAGCTCTTAATTACTTATAAGAGAAGCATCTTGCAACTTTCAATTTTGTAAAAAGTAAAAATAAAAATAAAAAATAAAATAAAAAGATAAAATAAAAAAATCTTGCAATGTTCAAAGTTGTAGATCACATTTTTGGCAAAAATAGTATCATATCTAAGCCTCCTGGTTTTCAGGCATCAGAATTAGAACTTTATAGAAAAAGACTTGTGTCAAAAATAAAATCAAATCGCTAAATGATCTCCTACAATTAAGAAATATTCAGAGGATGAACCCTTTTCAAAACAGTAAGAAAATATACTAAAAACTAATTTCTGGGACCTAAGGCAATGCTATATTAGGGAGGAAATTCTGGTGAAAAGGACAACATACTACGGACAAAGCACAACTCTAGTTCTAGTAAGGCAAAATTTTGTCAGAAACCCAATACTAATGGTCAAAAGAATTAAAAGGTCATCAAAATGAAACAGGAATTGGTTAACTTGATAAATTATATATATTTCGGCATACCTTTGAAGTGAGAGTTGAACCAGTTATACTAATAAAGTTAGCCCCAGCTTCTGTTGCAAGTGCCTTGGCAAGAAGTGTTTTCCCCGTTCCAGGTGGGCCAAAAAGTAAAATTCCTTTGCAAGGCTGCAAAAAGTTTTATGTAATCATACAATGAACAGGTATAAACTCTTATGTCAAAAACCAAAGAATGGTGTAAAAATCAAGTACCCTCAATAAATTCCCTTCAGAAAAGAGTGCTGGTCTCCGCATTGGAAGAATGACAAGTTCATTCAATGCCTTCTTCACATCTTCAAGAGCACCTACATCATCAAACTTGACACCAATTTCACCAGGAGGTACCACTGCTGAGACAAAGTTGCTTTCATACTCATCCTTTGCAAGGTTCTGCCAGATTTATTTGCTAGACATTAACTCACTTTTCAAAAACATTTACTTTCTATCCACAGAGAATGGTTTCAACAGAGAATGGTAATGAAATACATACCTTCAAGTTTTGAGATGGTTTTCTTGATATTGTTTCTTGCTCTTTCAACCTTAAAATTGCAATTTCAAGGCTTCATATGGAAAGAAAGGCAATCAGAATCATCAGTAAACCTTTTGACATTAATTTTCTAATGCACATAGATCATATAATTTTACAGATGATGAATCAAATGAACATGATCAACAGGTAAATTAGTGCACATAGATCATATAATTTTACAGATGATGACTCAAATGAACATAATCAACAGGTAAATACCTTTGACGAGGCAGATAAAGTCTATCCCCTTTTATTGAAGGTTGCTCACAAGATGATAAATAATGATTTTTAGCCCAACCAACAACTTTTTCAGTTTCTACAAGTGAAACAGAAGAGTTAAAGACTGTTAGACTGCAAACGAGAAATGTATTGGTCTCATTTACCACAAACATTTGGAAAAAAGACTGTTACAAATTCGATACATTTAAACATATGACTTGATCAAAATCAAGCCTCCAATCCAACTTAACAGTTCTTGATGTCAATGGAAACCAAATATCAAGTCCAAAAAAGATTCTAGGTCTGTCATGTCCAGTGTTGCAAAAAGTGCAAGGCAATTGTGAGGCATTGGGGGCACTGCTTAGTACCTAGGCATGAAGCCATTTTTCTATTTTTTTGTTCCCCCTTTTTTCCTTTATTTCCAAACAATGCCAACAAAATAGGAAAAAAATGTCAGAAAAATTACTCAACAAAAGAAAAAACAAGTTACATTTCTTTTTTTTTTCACTAACATTCTGAATTAGTTGTTCAAGTCTAATGCTTTTGAAACAATTATTACTCAGTCCAACTAACCACGAATGGAAACAGTGCCGCTGTAAGCTCATTTTAATGCTACCACTCCATCCGTCTCAATTGATCTGTCATTATAACCAACTTGTCTCAAATTATTAGTCAATTTAACCAAATTAACTACCTTATTTCCAATTTTATGATTATTTACTATTCTGCTCCCCATTAATTAACATTAATGTAAAGTTTTGATGCATTAATTAACTATAATTTTAGGAGAACAATGCATATCATCTTAAATACATGAGGTTGGAGCCACAAGTATGCATTCTTCTTGAAACGCAGTACAAGAATACATGATTTTTATATACCGATTTAATTATTAGAGGTAATAAGGAAAAGTCAATTATAAAAAGATTAGTTTTTAACTACTTAAAATATGTGATTTTAATTAGTGATTGATAAATTAAGACAAAGTGAGTTTAAATTATAACTAATTTTTTGTCATTTGACCTTTTACTTTTGGTGATTTTTTTTTTCTTTTTCTTCTACTTTTTATTTTTTTATAAGATAATTTCATTTGGGTTTTTTTGGTTATCTGGGCACACTTTCCCTTGGGCACAATTTGGCACAATTAAGCCTGCATAGGCACAATGAAACACAATCAAGATCACCTAGGCACACTTAATCAATCTAGTAATGGCGCAAATGCCTAAACCCACTGCTTAGATCTCTAGGCCTAGGCCTCGCAGTGGGCCACTGCCTAGCACCTAGGTGTAGCTTTCACAACAACGGTCATATTCACCCATATGAATACCAAACATCTCTTCTTTCAAACCCACTTCAACCAACGGTCTTGATTGTCTTTACTCTCATGTCAAGTACTCAAGTTCACATCTGAAAAAGTTACCTGAAGACTACTAATCCTGACCTTCATTTGTAACCCTCAGTTGAATCAAGATTAGTTTACATAGCCAAACAATACATGAAATGTCTTAATACAAGAATTGGATTAGATACCACAAATATCATATTTCAGCCAAACTCAAAAAAGGGCCTGTGTTTCCTTAAGGTAGAACATGAACATATGAAACTCAAAATGATGTGCATTTTTTAAGCAACATCTTAAATCCATTGTTAGTCATTCTTCAGAACAAACAAAAACATGGAAACAATGTAATTAACTTGCTCATAAAATATTTCAAGCATAACCATTCCCTATTCATTCTAATGATAATATCTTTGGATAGGGCCATAAAAAATGCCAAATATTTCCTTAGAAATTTCTGTGACACTCTTTTAAATCATATCCAAGATCTCAGTGATAACTTCTCAATTGGGTTTCGGGTTAAAACTCACCAAACCTTATTTGTTACTTCAATCCTACCCAATACACATATTTTCTGGTCCTATGCATAATTCAATAGATGGATCCATGTGCCACAATGAACAACAATGTTGGCTCACAAGAGTTAAATTTTAAACCAATGTAAACATACACCATAAAGCAAGAGTTATGCCTTTGTTTGGTTTGGCTGTTAGGAATGGCTAACAGTTGTAAAAATATCTTTCCAAACACCCTAATCAACTGTTTAAGGAAAAAAAGCTACAGACCGTAATTATTGACCAAACCAAACAAACCCAATGTAACAATTGAAAATGTGTGCGTACAAGAAAAACAATAACTATTCTGAATCAAATGTACAATATCTAATTCCAGGTTAAATTTGGAGAAAGAAAGTTCAGTTTGGTACTTACTCTGCTTTGTCAATATCACTCCATCAGAATTTACATGCAATAGGTCCACGCACAATAGCTCATTATCTTCAAGAACCTGCAAACAAGTTACTGACAAATATAAAATTCTGAATATTAAAGAAACAAATGGTGCTGAAGGAAGCAATGGCATTGATTTGTGCTTTGGAAACAAGATAATATTTTATCAGTTTAAGTTGAAAATTTGTTAAAAAAGAGAGCATAACCAAACCCATACCTTATGTAATTCATATATATTACTCCGCAATATCACAATTTTCCTGTCCTCTTCAAGTTGTTTATTAAATATTCTGAGCAGTTCTTCTTCCTGAGAAAGTATCAAAATGAAGTATAAAAGAATGAAAACACCTAGAAATAAGAGAATAACATATTGTTCCTTTTAGAAATATATGAGGCGCTATATATGGCAGATATGAAAGCATAAATGGAAAACTGGTACTTATTTCTTTTTACTCTACTACTTACAATAAAACCAAACAAAAGTTTGAATTGTATCTTTAATCAGATTTACCAATGGAACTTTTAATCCTTTTTGCATGCCTGCATGTTTGTTAGGGGTTAGGGATGCTGGTGAAGGTGGAGAAGGAATCATATCATTCAAAACCTATTAAATGAAAATGATAGCCTTTTCATGGGAACCATTTGCCAAACTGCACTCCTGATCCAGACATAATAAGCAGTTTTTTCTTGTGGAATTTAGTCAAAGGATATATTCAAATGAATCTGAATTGTAAAAAGCGAGCTCAGGCAGCACCCAAGCTCTAGGCGGTGCCATCCAGCCCGCATCAATCTCTAGGCAAAAATTCAATTCAATTTGCACCATCCAGATCAATTAAGCACGCCCAGGCACTAGTAGGCGTGCTTAATGGCACCTAAAGCGCCTGAGCAAATTTTTTTTTTAGTTAATTTTTTAGCCTAATGAAGTGATGTTTAATTTACTATAAAAATTTTATTAAAAAAAGTTAAATGCCAAGTAACTCCCCTAAATTCTGCTCTTTAGACATGATAATGAATAGAAAAATGTTTAATTTTTCTATTTATTTTATAATTTTTAAAATTGTTTCCCATTTTTCTTATTTTCTTAGAATTATATCAAAAAATTATTATTAGAAAAAAAACCACCTAGGCAGCCTAGGCACTGCCTATGCAGTCTAGGCTCTAAGCTGTGGGCAACCGCCCACCATCACCTAGCACTTTCTACAACCTTGAAATGAATACTAGATTCTTCAAAGCAACATTTGATATCAAAGTTCTCATCATACCTTTTTGCTATTTAAGGTCATGGTAAAGCCTTCTACTTTTTTTTATTAAATACAAAGACAGGAGTAAGGCCTCCAAAAATCAGGTAAATCACATAATCTATACTTGACTATATAACTATGAAGAAAATAAGAGAAGAAAAGAAAATCTTAGATCATTCTCTTACTCATTCAACAACAGCAAATTTGAGACAGACTTACCAGACATTCAGTTTATGGAATTAGATTTTTAAAGGAAGATAAAAATGTTTGTTCTCCTTCCTCTCTTCAAGTTTTTAGGCTAAAACTTACTTTTAGCACTTTACCTTAATAAATTTGTATGTTTTAGCCCCTCACCTTATACTATGACACTTTCAGCCCTTTACCTTAATAAGTTTGTAGGTTTTAGCCCCTCACCTATATGAATTAAAGAAAATAACCCTCACTTAAGGTCAGGTTATAACATTTTATTAGTTCTATTAGCTGACTGTTATCTCTATTAGTTGACTGTTAACATTCCATTAACAGAATTAACAAATAAAATAAAATTTAAATTTAATGTTTTCTATAACGAAATGCTAACGAATGCTAACAGCTAACAAAGCTAACAATCGACTAACAAAACTAATAGAACGTTACAACCTGATGTTAAGTGAGCTATTTTCTTCAATTCATATATGTGAGGGGCTAAAAGTGTCATATTAGGTGAGGACTTAAAACCTACAAACTTATTAAGGTAAAGGGCTAAAAGTAGGTTTTTGCCCAAGTTTTTATGCCTCATGGGGAGAGAGTTTAATTGAAAATGCAGTTAAAATTTGATCCCATAAGAATGAGTAATTGAAAGATATATAACACATTGAGAGGACAATTTGGTATGACAGCTGCACATTGAAGCAACTGATATCAAGGGTATAACTGCCAGGCCAAAATGCAAAAAAGGTGAAACTATAAACTGCTTAAAATCTGAATTCTGAGGAAAAGATTCATTTACCTTTGGAGGATATAGACACAGAACGTTAGTAAAGAGTTTATGTATTTCATTGTCATCAGACCTCCATGTCGCTTTAAGTCCCTCAGTAAGGCGCCTCAAAGGAAGAGGCTGTGAAATGCAAATACCTCAAATTAAAGATGGCAAAGAACAACCACAAAGCAATGACAAAAGGAAAACTTAACAAAGAATTTAAACACCAAAAAGCAGACAAGTATAATCCTTTAACTGTCAAACTATATCTAAATAAATCTATATATAGAACTGAATTCCAACAGAAATGAACCGATTTAAATCTACTTCTAATCCAGTTCCGTTTTTTTTAAAAGAAAAAAGAAGGCATAACTGTTTATATTAATTTCAGTTGTCTAAACGATAGATAAACTGATCTATTCTTTTCTCATTAAGGCCACTGTTCAAAAGCAATCAACAAAAGACAGATAGAAATGTTAAGTGCAAGAAGTCTGCAGCTACCCCTTTTTCCCCTCCTTCCCCCAGCCCAATCAAGGACATAATCATTTTAACTAGGATTCAGAATTTAGAAGGTGCCAGCTGGGTGCTACCATGTCAAAACACAATAGACATGTAAAAATATATGCACACAAGGATCAAGGATGAATTATAAGAGCTTCTATTAGCAATAACTAGACCTCCAAGGCTAGCAATTAACTTAAACAATGGTAAAAATTTATTGGCTTCAAAAGAGGAGTGCTAGGGCATAAAGCATTACCAGCTTCGCAAGGTGACCCAAATTTGGGAGAATCATCGTCTGCTGCACATTGAAATGTAGAGAAAAAGAAAAGAAGAAAAAGTTTACAGAAATTATAAACAGGTTAAAATTTAAAATAACTCCTGCACACACATATTGCTTTATTTCTTCAACTTCTGAAACTTACAAATTTTTCTTTCTCCCTTGACCCAGTTTCAACTTTATTCTGACCACAAATCAGGACAACAGGACCAGATAATTGGTCAAACATTTCTCTAACTCTGTGGACAAACTCCTTACGGTTTGACTTTGAAACTGCCCTTGACAACCATTCTGAAGAATCTGGAAAATAGACAATGAGAGGTTGCACAGAATTCAACACCTGAAAAGAAAAATGGTAAGAATCAATTCACTAAGCATCTCCACTTTATGATTTTCTCCCTTGGGAGAACATTAAAAATCAAACAAGGTCCTCTGCTTTCAAGGGGAATAATGCAAGCATGTAGTCTCTGGCTCCACCATCCTTTGACAAAAGTCAAGTTAAAATTATTGAGTTTTTATAACCTATGCCATAAGGGTGCATTAATTGCACCTTTTCCTCATTAATTGTTATGGAAAAACTAAAACTTCAATTTTATCATCCCCCAAATTAAAATCATGTACGTGTCATTGTGTTGAAAATAAAGTTAGCTTTTGTGTTTTTCTATACAAATTAATAAAGAAAAGGGGCAATTAATGCACCCTAGGGCACGGGTCAGACAAACCCAAAATTATTTGCCACCAAAATTTTACCTCGCACAAAGCCTCCATGGCAATGTAGCAGTCCTCTGCCTGGAAATCCAAATCAGGCTCAATGTCATTAACTGCATGCCAGAAAGAGTTACCATTACATTTTGGTATATTTGCATCAAAAAAATGCAGAACTAACAGGACATCATTGAATCAGATTTCAAAATTTTTAATAGAACTACCAAAGTTAGTGATCTTTCTATCACTCTCTAACAACATAATTTGATAGAAATGACACAAACAAGAAATGAGATCCTAGTCTGTCTATATAATAACAAAAGAAAACCCACATTCAATTATGTTGATAATCACCTAGCTAACCAGTTAATGGTTATTAAACAAAAAGAAATTGCTTTTTGCCCGTATCGCTTCCATGCCTGATACATTTGGATATAATTGAAGCATTTAACTGCTCAAGTTAATAATAGCTTCTCATTCTTTAACAGGCACTAGAACCAGGGTTATCAGTAGTGGATAGCAGCCAATAGCAAGAAGGTAAAAATTGGTTATGGTAGTGTAGCAGATAGCAAAGCAGCCGCTATTGACCAAATAGCAGCCATTAAAAAAAAAAAACAAAAATATAGAAATTTAATAAGCAGAATAATTGACCGAATAACAAAAAAGCTTTCAATGACTTAATAACTTAAAGGAAAATAAGACAATTCTGAATGACCTTAGAACTTGAAATGACTTAATAACATAATAATACTCTCAAATAATAAAGTCATAACAATCAGGCTAGATAAAGCTATAAGACAATAAAATAAAATACAAAGGCAGTTGACAATTCCAATTCATAAGAATTAAGAATTTAAAATTTATTATTTAAGAGAATCTACTAATCCTCATTCCTCTCTTCAGCTTCCAATCTTGTTAAATGGACAGAATTTGAAACCAGTAACCATCTTTGGATTCATTAAAAAGTTGTCTACAATTTTTTATTTACATTCATACAAAGAGAAAAAAAAAAAAAAAACAGCAAGAGAATAGAACCATAAAGCTTAAATACTATAAAAATCAAAGCTTTTGTTTTGGCCCAAATAAAAACAAAGCCTAAGTGCCAAAAAAGGGGGTATGGAGTTCTTCTAGGCTTTGTAAGGTCAGGGGCATTGAGTTTCTGCAATGTCAGGGGCGTTGGCAACTGGAGTGGTGATGAGGTTGATTGGAGCCGGGGCTTGGATTGCTAGCGACAGGGTTGATTGGCATTAGGAGGTGTTTTGCAGGGGTTGCTGTTTAGTTTTGCTTTGCTTTTGCAATGTCAGTTGTGAGAGAAGTGGGAGACAGATCAGGTCAAGATGAGATTTAGGGTTAATTTAAGTGTTTTATTGCTTTTTTTATTAAATAAATTAAAATGAAAAATTTACCCTTAACAATGAATCTCATTTGCTGAAATGGGATCATTTCAGTCTTTTAAAAGGGAAAGCACAATAGCGTGGATAGCGGGCACCATCCACTCTCTAGATGGCAGCCGCTATGGTGTTTGAAGTGGACACTATTGGAAAACTGCCACGCTATAGCTGTTTTCATAGTGGCAGCCCCTATGATCACTACGCTATGTCAGCTGTAGTACCATAGCAGGCGCTATAGACAACACTGACTAGAACCCCATCCAAAAAATATGATTTGGCAATAGGAAAACAACAACACATAAACCACATAATCTTGATAGTCAAATGTAGGAACACAGCATCTAGAAAACAAAAAACTTATTTGCATTTGAAAAAAAAAAAAAAAAGAGAGATTAAAGAAACCTTTCCAAAGTGAAAGATATACCATTTATCCAGTGTAGCGGAGGTTTTGCAGACTGCTCTGTGAGTTTCTCATTTGTCTCTTCTTCTTTTGCTTTGGTGTCACTACCAATATCAAAAATAACAGCTACTCTGTCTCCATCCACCTCATATACCTCCCCACGTTGACCGGTAGACAATGGCCTGCAGCAATGTTAAAAACTGATTTGAATGCAATACCACTGCAACATTGTGGGTGCACATAAACTTGAAAAAGTAGAAGCAAGCTGATACTGCTTAAAAGTATTATCTTCTTCTAGATCTAGCAAGCAAACTTCATCAGATCTCAGACCAAAGAGAAGAAACATAAAACAAAATAGAGTAATGCATAAGTCGAAACATGTCTACTTATGTTACAACTGTCCATCAGTACACTGGTTGAAGGGCAATTCAAAAGGATTCTTACTTTAGGATGATTTTATGAAGGGAATATCAAGTGATGTTAATCACGTCTAGACATTGAAACTTGATAACTGAATATATTTCTTTCTGATAAAAGAAAAATTTTAAAGCAAATAGGACAATCTAAAAGATTGATACTCATCCTCACAACATCCTGTCATTCTGCACCTAAATTTTGAAAGAGAAATGAGCATACAAGTTGTGACAATCTTAGCTTCCAACCAATCACATGCTACCCCTAAGTCCCACTTAAATTATCCATCTTTCAATTTAAAGACCCTTATTTAAAATGGATATAAATAATTTAAATGATTTTCCATGCAAAGGCTCAAATTTACAAGATGCACACAAAGTTGAAAAAACAGTTATAGAAACAAAGCAGGAAGCAATAAAGAAGCCATCTAATTATCTCATAAGGTAAGAGATTGTTATTTCAAATTGAATACTGCACATCATCGCAAGACATTAAGTGGTTATTTCAAAGATAAAAAGAAAAGACAAAGTTATGCCTTTAACCCCTAATGCAACCTATGATTTCCAATGAAATTTAGTATTATTTCAATTAGGAAAGAAAACATTGCCAATCCTTCTTCAAGCAAAGAATGCAAAGAAACTTGCATGTATATAATTCTCACATAACATGCACAAGTATTAACAACATCTTCTGTTGCCTAGATTTTTGGATTTGCTTTGGTGTAACAATGCCCCTGTGAAAGAATGGGCATAGTTGTGCCAAGAAGTCATACATATAGAAACGTTGTGAACCTAGCCGACCAAGCCCCTTCCACCTACATGCTTCAGCAGTATAAATTGAAAAAATTTTACAAGACTATATAGCAACTAGCAACTAGACTAGGATATTAAGGAAGAGTGTGAGCTAAAAGAGGAGATCAAAGGTAACATGACAAGGATAAAATGAAAAATAAAAATGAGAAATTAAGAAGACTAGCAGGGAACCTGTAAATATGAGGAAATAAAGGGACCATATGCTAGAGAGTTCAAAATGTCACACTCTACAAGAATTGAGCAATCAGCCACAATTGCACATTTTTAAAGGTTAACACAATACTACAAGGAAGAGAGTTAAAAATTTTAAATTTTAAATAAATGGACAGGTCAAAGGAAAGAACTTGCAATGTCGGGGTTTCTAAAATATAAAAAAGAATAACTGTGGCCAGGTTCATGATTTCTTACTAACAAAAAAACAAAGGAAAATAAGAAGAAAAACCTACCAAGAAAAACCCTCTATACCAAAAACTCACAGCAAAAGATTATGAAAACCCCCAAAGATTATATGAAAGATAATCACAATTACTAAGTGCATTTTCAAAAAAGAAAAAAGAAAAGAAAAAAGGAAAAGCCAAAATGGTTGGGTGTACAGGCTCCTCTTCTAAACAACAAACTTACCAACCCACCTGCCATGGATACTGGTATAAACATTTGTTGGACCACCAGAAGTTGGTATCTTCCCCAATATGATCCTGTGATGCATATGTAAGTCAAGGCCACCAGAAAACAAATTCAAAGTTCACAGAGGGGATGAGTTCTGAAAGATAGTGAGGCTTTCAAAAAGATAGACCATAGAAACAACCATCTCAAAATCATGTTTGCCAGCTGTGAAAACACTTTAGTGATTCGTAGTTCAAACTGTTTGATTTCAAAAGGTATGCAAATCTTGCAAAGGAACACATTAGAATTAATCAGGGTGCTTTTAGAGGAAAAAAACCCCACACATTGCTGTAAAAAAAATAGATAACAATTATTATGGAAAATCTTGTAGAAGAAACTCTGAACAAAAACATCTAGCCCATCATGAGGAAAAAAGAAAATCAAAAGACACTTATGCAAAATCTAAAACTAATGAAAAAAAAATCCATTGAATATACTGCATCAGGAGAACCTAAATGCTGATGTGCACTAACAGGAAAGAATAAATGTCCAAAAGACTTGCAAAGTCTAACATAAGTTAAACTGGTTCCATCCTACACTCAACGAATAGGAGTTAAGGTATAAAGTTTCTACACTTACATTAACTAATTCTACATATAATCAAGGAACTTCATACTGCAAACACTTAAAAAAAATAAAAATAAAAGTAAAATAAACTGAAGTCAATATTAAGAGGCCTATTTCTTGTAACAAAACAAACTTTTTCTCAGGCCTGAACAACAGAAACTGTTGGTCAACTAAGTTAAGAAACCATAGAATTCCTAATGCTTGGTGAATTCTACTGATTACACTAGCTTAAAATTTGCACAGCCTAATATTTTAAACCCAATAAAGGGCGCCTAGTTCTTTGTAGGCATCCTGACATACATGTGGAAATCCTTATTAATCACATTTCAACGTGCATTTCAGAAGTAAATACTGTCTCAAAACACTAATCCACATGCACAACTATAATACACATAGAAATTTCATTCAGAAGCACAATAAATAGGACAGAAGAAAGACATGCACTAGTAAAAGAAAATGGCCAGCTTTAACATTTTATATAATTCATCAGACAATCGTCCTTGATGTGGTTTAGGACGAGACAATAGAGTTGTACTTTTCAGTTGAGACTACTGGGAGCTAGAAACCATGTTGTGTCCTGGTAGGAACAAAAAATCTCATGTCTTCCATAATTGATTTTCACATTCATCTAGAAATTGCAAGGAGACAGCAAACTAATGGGATCCATTGCAAATGAAAATATGAAACCAAATGGAACTCTTCCATACAAAGACAAAGGCTGGACCAATATTAATTACCTATTATTATCTTCTCTTTGCTTGTTCAGACCAATGTATTTTACCCGGTCCCCTAATTACAAGGATTAGAAGACAACAAAATAATCAGTTTAAAGAATGAAACAGTATACGGAAAACATTGTCAAAAACTAACGGCATCCCACTCATAATGTAGAAAGATGGACTTATTAAATTACAAGAGTAACAAGACTAAAACCAAAAGCAACCAACTGCCAAACCACCAGCTTAAAAACACTTCTTAACAGGGAAAACAAATAAATATCTAAAGCAAGACTTCAGTCATAACAGAAACAATTGAATTTAGCAGTTCCTACTGAATTCAGCAATTCCATCGTAAGTAGTAACTAACTCCATGAAAAAAATGCAATTGCTTCTACTTCCACTTAAACAATGCTCACCACAAAGGTCCTTGCCAAATTCATTTTTTCCATCACTTTTCTTGTTCCCTTTAGGTAACTAAATCAGGGAGGTGTACATGGAATATCACACCCATTTGTAAATGCACCAAAACCAACAAACTTTATTATTGAAATAGGAATAACAGAAGAAAGAATATGCTGAGTAAAAAAAATTAACCCCTCAGAGGAAAAGTAAAAAGGAAAATGTCCATGGAGAAAAAACTTGTACACAAAAATGTTTTGTAAATTGTCACTTAAAGGACTGCACATGCTGCAAAGTGAGAAAATTCAATACATGTTTACCACACTTACAATGCATCCATAACTAAAGCTAGCATGCATATTTACCTTTTTTAAGTGACCGCTTGGTTTTATCACATGATTCAACATCCTCAGACTTTGAGGACACAGTGCAACTCTCAGATTCTCCACTGATCCTCTGCCAAGTTATAATACCAGAATCAGAAAACAATCCATGGTTCAACGTAGGGAAGAAGAAATCTAGAATTCCGATTAATACATGAAATGATCAGAAAAAAGATTCCAGGATGCTCTTAATATTAGATACTAGCTTCCTAATAACTTAAACCCACTAAGCCATCAGCTGATCTAAGCCATCAGCTTCTTGGGATCTTATATCTGCAAGAATACAAATACTACTCCATAGCTTCCAACCTGCTATCTCCATCAAGTCTAGCAATATTGATCATGTGGACCTCCTCCCACTCGAATAACCAACAAATGCATGTATTAGTAAATATCTTAAATGCTTTGTTATGACTCCTGGATATTGACCACTCTCCTACTGACAAAAGAGTTATTACATTATACGTTTATATAATCAGCAGAAAGAATTGGACATCTTCTAGGCAGTAGAACATCTATAATGTCACTTATGTAAGGCTAACATAATCGCAACTGAATATAACGGACATCATCATTTAAGCTTCAATATTTCACACCATAATGTCAAGTAGCATTCTGAGCTCAAGCCTTAAATACAACCACAAAAGTGTACCTTCTCAAATTCTTCAAGGCTGTAGGGAACAAGTTTCTTAAGGGCTGCTTCAGCAGTTGCCTGTACATCAACTTCATCATCATCATCACTACATTCAGTTTTTGTGTCATTACTGCTCGTCCACTCTTCATTCTCATCGTCAATCTCTGAGTCAGTACACTCCTCCCCAGATTCCACGCTATCATCATCTGATTCACCCTCAGACGAACCATCATCACTAAAATCCTGCACCAAAATTAATAGACACAATAAATATTTACTTTGAGCAGCACTACAGAGGGAAAAAAGAATATAAAAAAGAATTGGCATATTAAACAATTGAAACCACTCAAACTTACATAAGGAGCGAGAACACTGCTCTCAAGCACCAAAAGGGGCACTTGTAAATCCCGTGCAAGTGCTCTAACTAATCTCTCATGATAAAGCTCAGTGCCTACAGATGGAAACTTTTTGTAATTAATCAACACAGAAAATAATACTCTGTTTTTAAGTGGATACACAAGACAACATGAAAAATATAGACACTCAAAATGCAACAAAGAAAGATCAAAGGAATCGGATTTCTCGATGGACCAACCTGGAACACTCTGAATCAGTATTCTCCCACTTGAAGATGTCAACCGAGCACCAAAGGAGGTGGCAGACCTTCTGTGTTTCAAATGGGAAGCAACACATTCCACCAAAAGATTTTTGGTATGCTCACTATAGGAAAAGCAAAAAATATTAATTTAAAAACACCCAAGCAAAAAAATAAAAGATGAAAAAGATGATGTCAAGGAGTACAGTAATAAGTGATTACTGAACATAATAAGGAAATGTTTCCCATGAAACATGTATTTTCTCCCAAGGTACGACCCGACGCAAGAATTCGTTTTTGAACTTTTCATGCCTGCTCAAAAATGGTGATTCCTTCTTTCTACTCTCAATGGAAAGCTTCTCATTCTTGAGCCATTCCTTTTGATCTTGCTCCCCAAGTCTAGCATGTGCATCACAAGGTCTCACATCTTCCTTGACCACTTCTAGTAGATTTTTTCCCTTATCAATGTTAGACCCATCATTCACAGGTCTACAGTTATCCTCACTAGCATTCCTTCCATCACCTTCAGAACTATATGCACGTAACTGATTGCTTCTTAAAGAGGTTGCAGTGATAGACCTCCCATGCAAACCTGAATAAGTATTCCTGGGAACAATGCCTTGAGCTGAAAATGAATCTAAAACACATTTTGTGATCACACCACCACTTGAAGACCAGTTCCCCACTACAGTAGTACGAATTAAGCATTGGGAACAAGCATAATCCTGGGAACAAGCATAATCCTGGGAATGCAGCCTACTAAAATATTTGGATTGTTGAAACAACAAACCCAATCTCTGGTTTCTTCTACACCTTATTCTCCTAGCATACATTGCAACTGTTATTCCAAATCCCTGCAGCAGCAGAAGATAGGCTCTCATTAGCACATATGGTACAAGAAATCAGAAAACCTTAACTCTGAGGTCTTTATTTAAGATATGAGTAATGAAATCAACAAAAGGGCAACAACGAAAGGATTTACACATAATCTACGTCAAAGTAGAATGCAACCATATTAACATAAGCAACTTACATAACATTCTAATCATTTTATGCAGCGCCCAGAAGCTAATCCATTATTAAAAGTGAAAACAATAAACCCAAAAAAAGGGATAAAATTTCTTTGAATTTTAAGGCATCATTGATCCTCACTTGCAACTACCACAGTGCTTAATTTTCAAATCCCATTTCTCCCTTTTCTTCACATGCTTTCCCGAAAACCAAACACAGCAAAAGAACCAAACTTTCAATGACCATATCATAAAACCAAAACTAAAAACCGAAAAGGCAAAAGATTCAATTCATTCTGGAAACTTCTCATATTGGAATAGAAAGTACAAACACAAACCTTATTCGATAATATCGAGCTGAGGACTAGGGCTTCATGAACATAGGAGGGACTTAACGAGTTTATTGGAAACAAAGGAGAGGAGGAGAAACAGGGTAAGCAAGAAAAAGGACGGAAGAAGCGCGGAGTAGGAAAGAAGATCTGGTGGGGTGCAGGAAGAGAAGCGCAGAAGAGATTGTGTTTTGTGTTGTGAAGGCTTGGGGTATGGAAATTGAGAATTGCAAGTACTGGTTATGTTAGATATATGGATACGAGGTTAGGCCTTTTAGGCCGACAACATTGGCCCAACTATCTCGGCGCTTCTGTTAGTTGCCTACTGCCTTCTGGTGGACTCTATGGCCCAATCGTTCCAAGTAGGTCTGACCCTGAACAACAGAGACTAGCATTAACCTCTCTCTCTCTCTCTCTCTCTCTCTCTCTTAATTAACATGGGTACTTGGGATGGGACTTTGCTTCAAGTAATCCGATGAGTTCTTGTAAACTATCCTATACATTGTTGTCGTATCGTTTCGTATGGATAAATACAGTTGATAAGTATTGATTTTTTTGTTGGTTGAAATGGTACATGATTCAATTTTCTTTTAATTAAATTTTGTTAATTTTAATCAAATTTTGGAAATACCAATCAGTATTTCAATGTATCGATACGTACACGAAAAATCACTTGTACAAATCAATTCAAATTAAAAAAAAGTAAATTTCATTTTTGTTCTCAACTTTAATGTTTTGTATAATTTTCATCATTTAACTTTTTTTATATTTTTTTTAATCCATTAATTATGAAAAATGTATTTTTTAATTATTTTATCAATTAATCTATTAAGTTTATTTAAATATGCACATTTAATATTTAAAAAAAAAATTATGAATATTTTATAAAATTAGTCATTCTAAACTTGTTTTCAATTTATAAAAATATAATAATTTAAACATTAGTTTCTCTTCTCATTATTTTCAAATTTGATATGTAATTTATAAAAAATATATATTGATAACGATAAATCTGAAATTGTACGTGAAAAATTTTGGTATCTGATACGTATCATTTCAATAGCAAAACCAATATACATGTCGATACGGTATTAACAACTTTGATCTTATAATTAACTAACAAAGCTCTACCGAGTGGTGCAGGTTACCCATAGCAAATTGTGTTGTTACTCCAATACTCTCCTTTATGTCTATGTTATATCATTGTTGTGTCTCGTTTCCAAGATCGAATAAAATAATAATTAACAAACTTATAAAAAAAATCAATAACAAAATATTATCAAAATAGGCGTGAAAAACTTTATTTACTTTAAAGCGATTCACATTTTTGTAGAGTGTTGAGTAACCGATGTAGTAAAGATATATATAGCATGTCATCCTCAGAATACTACAGTTTTATAATTATAATCTATGATTCTACACTATCCATAAAGTCACTTAATTCAAAACACCCTTCTTTACCTAAAATATTTAAAAGACAAAATAAGGTAAGAAAATAGAAAATTGTGGAGGAATTTCTCTATTACTGAGCAAAATAACATGTTCTATTTATAAGATTTATGATCATATAACTCCCATTTATAGATTTATGATCATATAACTCCCATTTATAGGTTAATGATAGAAATAAATTGGACAATTATTATGTAATAATGTGCCCTTAAGTAATATAATTAACTTACAACAACTAGTTTAACCAAATTCTTAATGGGATAATAAATTCAATTTATAAAATATATTATTTTATTTTTTATTAATATATTTAAGTTCTAACAATTCTCCCATTATTTTAATAAAAAATAAACCTTTCCTTTGGGCAAATTATTATGCATAATAAAGGTAGTTAAACCTTGAATATTTACTTAGTGAGTCAACAACTCTCAATCTAAAGTCAAAATGAACTAAATCTTGAGCTATGACCCCATTGGAAGATACAAGAATCGTATCACACACATAATGATTCGAATGTTGAGTTTTTCACACAGTTGACACATTATGGCCTTACGCATGATCTCAATTTTCATGGGTGATCTAGAAAATTGTCCATCCAATTTTTATAGAAGCAACCTCACTTCGACACTCACATAGGTGAAATTTGTCAAGAGTACTCCCATGACTAAAACATCCCACTCATTGAGCTACAAATTTATTAAGATTATAAAACTCAAGCCTCAATTCGTTATGGGATAGATGCATCCTCACCTTAGGAATGGGATTAGAAATTTTTCCATTAAATATGGATGCATCTTTCAACGACGACTTCTCTATGATTCATTTTTCCCATTTGAAACTCAATTTTTAGAATTTGAGTTGGGTCCTCATAGAAAGTTCCACTTTATTGGGCTTGAATCGCATTTTCTTTGATGAGCACTAAACCTTGGGTTATGATCATAGTTTTTCCTCCAACTTTTCTCTTTACCAAAGGCATAGTTGGTGGTATAGTGGGTAATGAAGAGAATTAACTCATTCTTTTTCTCATTTTTTTTCTTCTCACATCAACTCACATGTCTACTAACTCATAAAATTCACATTCACATTTCTCAATTTCTCAATTTCTCAATTCATGGTACCACAATTTTTGAAATCAAATCAAGCTAGTGAACCACCATTTTCTTATCATACATATAGAGACATGTATTTAAAAATTTTTAACCCTAAAACCATTGTACCTTGTTGTACAATAAGAATATCCATCATAGCATATTTCTTCTATTCAAGGTAAGTGCCTTATTATTTTTTTATTATACACCATTATACCATAATTGTATAATAAGAGTACATGTATCACGTTTGCTTTGTTAAGTATCATTATACCTTATTGTATAATAAAAATGCTATGCAAAATTTCAATTAGGCACCATTGATCTTATTAGTAATAATAACACATAGGGATATCACAAGCTCTTACATTGGGAGCATTTCAAATATGTGATTCTCACATTTCTCAAATAATTGAGTTTATAAAAAAAAAAATTTTTTCTCACGAGATTTCATAAGAGTCTATTAGCTCATTTCACATTATCATCACAAATGGTTCCTCAATCGTGCAAATTAAAAAAAAAAAAAAAAAAAGCTTACAATTCTAGAATATGCCAACTCAAATTTCATATACATTTTTTGCAAAATTATTGCATGAACCAAATTGGCTAGCTCTTTTCATCAAATAACTTAATAATATGATCAATTAAATACACATATTTATTCATCATTTTTTTTTAACTATTAAAAATAATAATAATCAATTTAATTATACATCAACAATTAATATCATTAAGTTATATAGATGTTGATAATAAGTCATAAAAAAAATTTATGTGGCAATAAATTACAAATTAACCATTCATCGTTAATATTAATGAGCTAGCAATCATAAACTATCAAATCACACAAATAGATACAAAAAGGCCATAAGCATGCAATATGATGAGAACCCCAAAAAAAAACAATGAGATTCACAGCACGATAAGGGATTTCTAAACTTCAAAAAAGCCAAATCAAGTTTATAATAGGATACTGACCCGTTATTTATGTCGCAACAAAAACCAAAGGTAAAAACCTTGGTCCGTTGTCTATAACGCAACAAGAGCCAGAGGTATAAAGTTGGTTGACGCCACACCCTCGAACGATTAAGAACGAGAATGATAAGTCAAGTTAGAATGCCACAAGAATAATCTTGATAAGTTCTGTAAAGTTCTGAAACGAACCAAAGAGAAAAGTCTCTTAAAATCTCAGATTCAATAGCCTCCCCAAATTAGGGTTACAAGTCCCTTAAATAGAGAAAAGTAATTCTAATCAGAATAGGAAACTAACACCTTAAACCCTAATCATAATAACCACAAATTGGGCTTTAAATAAATGAATGTTCAACCCAAAATAATATAAAAAAGGGTGAAAATCACTAAAAGTAACCTAAAATAACATAAAATATCAGTTTGTTACAAATTGCGACAGAATTGCGAGTTTGACGCAAACTGTGTAATTTAGCATAAATGACCTCAATTAAGCTTCTCTTGAACCTGAATGATATTTATCATGCCTTGATAATCATCCAAGCTTCGATTTACTTCTTGCATGTTGTTATCAACCCAGATTTGCTCAATAAGGCCATTTAAAGCTTCTCGCATCTTCCTAACTTTAGTTCTCGTGAGTGGACCTCCTAGAATGTGTAATGGATCTCTTGACGTGGTACATGTGGGGTCATCTTGATTCCCATCGCAATAACTAATTAAATGTAGATGAAATCAAGTTTACAAAGTTTACATTTTATGGCAGTTAGAAATTAAAATAATTTAATGGACCATTAAGAGCCAATTTCTCATGATAATAGCATATATATATATTCATTTGCAAAAGCAATGCATGATAGTGATAGGGTTAACAATTTTTTTTTTTTTTACCATCCACATGCCATTAATACTAAAACAAAAATAAATAACCTATCATTAAAGCATGGCCCAATAATTAGATTAGGATCCAAGACCTCATACATGTTTTGAGGCACCTAAAACAAATAATATTTTGCTTACACAATATAGTATATGTTTCAATTTTGCTTTGCATATTGAATTGCCTTAAAATTGTTGTTCCTCGAACAGTCTCCTTCATCTCTACATTATGTCATTGTTATACCTTGGTCACAAGATCAAATAAAATAATAAGTAACAAACTTATTAAGAAATATCGATGAGAGAATATCATTGAAATAGGCATAAAAAGTTTACTTACTTTAAGGCAATTCATGGCAATTCAAGCCTCCATGAAACGTAGATTAACCGATGCAATAGAGATATACATAGAATGTTGCTCTCAAGATGCTACAACTTTATAATTACACTTTATGAATCTGTACTACCCATGAAGTCACCTAACTCAAAACACCATTCTTTGCCCAAACATATTTGAAAGACAAAATAAGGTAAGAAAATAGAAGAATGTGGAGGAACTTCTCCATTATTGAGCAAAATAACATATCCTATTTGTAGAACTCATGGTCATATAACTCTCATTTATAGGTTAATGATAAGAATAAATTTGGTAATTATTATTTAATAATATGCCCTTAAATAAGACAATTAACCTATAATGGCTAGTTTAACCAAATACTTAATGAGACAATAAATTTAATTTATAAAATATATTATTTTATTTTTTATTAAAATATTTAAGTTCCAACAAATTGTGTTACATTGAAATAGTGAAGCGTTTGTACTATTAATTAAGAGAAAAGGAAAAATTAAGACATTTTATCATTAAGAGTATTAAAATATTTAATAATAATCAAATGATAAATTTGAAAAATTAATAGTTAATATAATATTTGCTATAAATCTTTTGTTTTAATTTTTTGATTTTAGGGTGCACAATATAAGATACTATCTTTTATTTTTATTTTTTTTTATTCGCATGTCATGTAATTCAAAACATGATAGCCATAAATTCATAGATATAAATGTGATTTATTGATTATAAGAGCATGTATAAACATTTATAGTCGAAATAATTTAATTGTTCTATTATGATATGAATGGTATCCATAAAATGTGAAATGCAATGTTCACAATATTAATTTCTTATAAATTTTTATAGTATGTAGTTAAATAACCAAAAGAAATTATTGATTATTATTCAATAAAGATGACTTTAAGAGAAGAAATGGAGATTGAGAGATGGGATTATAAATTGTTTATTAGTCATTTATATCATTGAAATTGGACATCAATAATATAGAGACCATTATATGTGATATTTTGCTAGGTAGTAAGATTTCTTTTCTCAAAAATCATGCATCACATGTAAATTACTTAAAGTAAGTCAGTGTACTAGACTAACCTGCCATGAAAACTCTACATGCACTTGTCATTAATAGCTTCTCAACTATTATGTGAGTATAAGTAATCTTTTTACTTAAGATTGTCTTTATTCTATAAAAGGATTTATGTACTTTGATACTGTTGAAAACAATCACTTCGAGGAGTTGTGAGTAATATAGTTATAGGTGCATCACATATCACATGAAAGTACTGTGTGAGTTAAGATAGAATTCATTCCTTTCAAGTTTATGAGAAAGGATATCTTTGACCTTTTAATTGAGATGAGACTGCTTGTAAAGTCCATGGCCATGACAAGAATGAAGTATCATTTAAGATGTCTATCTTAAGAATCAAAGATAAATATAACAAGCTTTAAGGATGATGAAACATTATATGCATCTTGCCTGATTGAGATATCAGTGATGAAAGAATTGAATTACACCAGTGCATCGGTTATATAAAGGTTCATTGAAGCTATCAATATTTCTATCAATTTGGGTAGCCATGATGTATTGCTAGATACCACTTTTGATTTATGAGTGTTTCTCACTGCCATTATGATGATTACTTAGAGAGTTATATACTTAGTGTACTGGGGGATTGAGATTTCTATACATCCAAGCTTATGAATATAGATTAATTTATATGACAAGATTATTTTTGTCAGAGAAATAAATTAATCAACTTTCAAATTAAATTGGTGTTAAAGGGCAAGGTGTGATAAGTCAACAACAAAGGTGACGTGTAAGCTAACTAAGATGCCTTTTATAAGAGATGAGGAAGGTAGCTTGCACTCATTGCACATGCAAGAAGCTACGTGCCATAAGCCACCTCCTTTCACCCACTAAAGATGAACTGCACAAAGTCTTCCAGCAAAGTTTGAAATGACAATTTCTTCAACCAAGCCCAAACAATGAAGCAATGTTGATAGAGTCTTAAAAGCACAATTACACAACTACCAAAAACAAATGAATAGGTGATGTACATTATAATAGGAATAACATGAATAAAAAACACAAAGATTGACTTTTACAACTTGGGAAGACATTTAAATGAAATACATCGAGGAGTAATAATAAATGCAATAAATATGCCCTTTGCTATCCCATACAAATACTCTAATTCTAAAATAAGCAACCTTCATATTGCGGCTCAAAATAAAATATTCTTCTTCAAACTTGTAGAAAATAAGGAAGAATAAACTAGAAAATAATGATGGGAGAAGGAAAGATAACCATTGTAGGGCTTTTTAATAAAGGACTTAATCATATTCCACGATGCTAACTTTACTACAAGATCCTCTAATGCTTAAGAAAAATAACCCAAAACCTCAAGTTACAGCATGAGTCTTCCAACCATGATAAGTTGTAAGTTTGGAGAATAATTTGTATAGCTAGAAATATAAGAAGATATAGGAAAATGGAAGCTTGTGGAGTGTTTTTGTGTATTAGTTAAGAGGTTGAAGAAGAAGATTTTTCTTTAGAGTACAAATGTATCTAATGCATATAATGTGAAAATCTTCTCCTCTAAATGTGTGTCTATCGAAAATGAAAGAAAAATAAAATATACATATATGTAGTGGCATTTTGGTAATTTTGAGCTTGTGGGGCTAGACTACCCTACAAGCCAATGGTTAGATTTGGGTTGTATATAAGGATAGGTATCAAGTTTTATGAGGATTTAGGCACTTTTGATAACTTTTGATGTATAATTATGAATTCTCCAATGTTTCCAACAAAAAATTGCTGGTTGCTAGAGCCTTCCAATTCTTGACAATCTCATTTCCATATGTAATGATGAATTCTCCAATGTTTCCAACAAAAAACTACTGGTTTGCTAGAGCCTTCCCACTCTTGACAATCTCATTTCCATATGTAATGCCATATTTGGTACGAAATTGAGCACCACCAGCAAATCTTTGTTTGAGATTTTGATAAACTTCCCATGTAAAATGTAATCTCTTTTGCCAATTTCCCATACAATAAAATTTGTGTAGCAATCCGTGCATTTAATACCATTGCAAGTTGATGATGGAGACTCAAATAGCATCTCTAGTTGATTTTTAATAAGGTTGCAAGCCTTTTAGTTAGCATTAAACGATGTAACTTTGGGATCAAGTTTTGTCTCTACGTGTATGCTGCTTATCCCTTCTTGATGAAGAGGAGCAATATCACCAGCCCCAAGCTTGGCCAGTGCGAATGCTATACTTTGCCAAGCAAGCAACGTTTCTCCATCCATGCCTGCCAAGCCACTACTCCCATAGTTTATTTCGAATAATACCTATAAGCTTAGATTCATGGGTTTGTATTTATCTACATCAAAGAGCAAAATATGAATAAGTATTTGTTCAAATATGTAAGTGTGAAATGTGTAAGTGTTTACAGTAAAGAAGAACACTCCCTTGTGTAGCAAAAGGCATGGTGAAAATAAATATGAGCGTGCCGAGGTACCCACTAGCCATCGGAAGCAAACATATAATACAGCTGTCAATAACGACAAATGGGCAAAAAAAAACAACCAATAAAGGCCACCAGGGCGACAAAACCATCATACCAAAAAAAATGCAACAAAAAAATCAGAGCCACCAAAACATAAAAAGAGAGAAGAAAGACAAAATAGAGAAACAAGATGCACGAACAACAAAGTTACACATGAGAAGAAAGAAGACAACAGAACAACTACGACATCAGATCAACCACAAAACAAACAAGGACCACCAACCACACCAACAACAAAGAAGAAGAGGCAAGAAACAAAAAACCGCATTAAGCAGAACAGAGGGGAAAAAAAAACACAAAAAAAAAAAAGAAAAGCGGAGAAGAATAAAAACACAGGAAAAACAACACACAGGCAAAAGAAAAGCAGAGGAAAGCACATGCACACAAAAACACACAGTGTGCAAAAAAAGCACAAAATTGCCGCAAAATGTAGAAAAAACAGATATCGCATGATATTAGAGGATATTTAGAGGGATTCACACGTTTTGGAATAATTTTGGGGCGAAAAATCCACTAATTGAAACCCAAATTCGGGGTAATAAGGTTAAGAACTAAGGGGGTAAATTCCCAATCCGAATAAGAATTGGTTTCCCCAATTAAAAAGCCTGGAAACCCAAAGGGGAAGAAGCCAATGAAACCGAAAATTTGAAAAAACTTTCCCCTTAGGTCAGTTTAAAAATTTAAAAAAACTAACAAAAATAATCCTGGCGCCGTCCAAACTGAACTAACAATCCCCGTCCTAAACCGTTCAAGGGTGTGGCATCAACCAACTTTATACATCTGGTTCTTGTTGCGCCATAAACAACAGGTCAAGGTTTTTACCTTTGGTTCTTGTTGCGACATAAACAATGGGTCAAGGTCCTATTATAAATCTGATTTAGCTTTCCTAGAGTTTAGAAATCCCTTGTCGTGCTGTGAGTCTCATTGTTCTCTTTGAGGTTCTCATCAATACCGAACATAGAATGGAAGTCCGAATTTGCGTAGGAATGATGCTAATGATGATTTCGATAACGATTATAAAGATGCATTCAACAATGACGCCCAGAACTCAAACTTCAGCATGGACAAAATTAAGAGAGGTAGAGGGGGCCAAAGAGAGCAAAATCTGACAAGGTGCGGAGATCGGCAAGATCGTGACTTAAGTAGCATCAAGATGAAGATTCCTCCGTTTCAAGGTAAGAATGATCCAAATGTGTATTTGGAGTGGGAAAGGAAGATGGAATTGGTGTTTGATTGCCATAACTATTCTGAGGAGAAGCAGGTGAAACTAGCAACAGTGGAATTTACTGATTATGTTGTGGTGTGGTGGGATCAGCTTGTGCTTAGTCGACGTAGAAATCAAGAGCGTCCCGTTGACACTTGGGAAGAGATGAAAGTTGTGATGAGAAAACGATTTGTTCCTAGTCACTACTACCGTGATCTCTATCAGCAATTGCCGGGCCTTACTCAAGGGTCCAAAAGCGTTAAGGATTATCACAAAGAGATGGAAATCGCAATGGTTAGAGCGAATGTGGAAGAGGATAGAGAAGCAACTATGGCACGGTTTCTGTATGGCTTAAATCGTGATATAGTTAATGTGGTACAGTTGCAGCATTGTGTGGAATTAGAAGATATGGTGCATATGGTGATGAAAGTAGAACAACAACTTAAGCGTAAAAAAGCCACCAGCAAAACTAGACAAAATTCAGATTCCTCATCTTCTTGGAAACTTAATTGGAGCAAAAAGGAAGAAAATTATGCTTTTAAGCCTAAAACTGCAGCATCTAAGTCAAAAAAAGTTGGCAGCAATGAGAAGAGTAAAACAGATAATACGCAAGGCAAAAACCGAGACATCAAGTGTTTTCGATGCTTGGGAAGAAGGCACATTGCATCGCAATGCCCTAATAAGCACACGATGATCTTGAGAAAAGATGGAGAAATTGAAATTGAGGGTGAATCTGATGATGAATCTATGCCACCATTAGAAGATGCTAATGATGGTGTGGAATATGCCGTTGATGGAAAACTGCTCGCCACTATGCAAGCTTTGAATGTGCAAGCCAAAGAAGATTATGAAGTATAACATGACAATATATTTCATGCAAGGTGCCATGTCAGAAACAAGGTATGTAGTGTGATTATTGATGGTGGTAGTTGTACTAATGTAGCTAGCACTGTTTTAGTTGAAAGGTTTAATTTACCTATGACAAAGCATCCAAGACCATATAAGCTGCAATGGTTAAATGATTGTGGAGAAATCAAGGTAAATAAGCAAGTTTTGGTTTCATTCTCTATTGGACGATATAGGGATGAGGTACTTTGTGACGTGGTTTCTATGCATGCTGGACATTTACTTTAGGGAGACCATGGCAATATGATAGGGGGGTAACACATGATGGCTTCAAAAATCACTATTCATTTGTCATGGAGGGGAAAACAATTACTCTTACACCATTGAATCCAAGGCAGGTTTATGAGGATCAACTAAGAGTAAAAAAAGAGAGTGAGCTGAGAAATGAGAGTGAGCTTGAGAGTATGAAAAACAAAGAGAAAACAATAGAAAAAGAGTCCAAAAAGAGAGAAAATATTGAGAGTGTTGAAAACAAAGAAAGAAAATTAGTGAGTGTTTATGCAAAAGAAAGTGATGTCAAGGCTGCGTTCTTTGCAAAACAGCCTATGTTTGTGCTTCTGTATAAAGATGCTTATTTCAACACTAACGAACTGAATGATTCTTTGCCTAGTGTTGTTAAATCTCTTTTGTAGGACTTCAAAGACATGTTTTCAGAAGACATCCCTAATGGTTTACAACCAATAAGAGGAATTGAGCATTAGATTGACTTCATTCTAGGTGCAACAATTCCGAACCGATCAGCATATCGAAGCAACCCCAATGAGACGAAAGAACTTCAAAAGCAAGTTGAAGAACTCATGAAGAAGGGGCATGTGAGAGAAAGCATGAGTCCATGTGCAGTTCCAATGCTACTTGTGCCTAAGAAGGATGGAACTTGACGTATGTGCATTGATTATCACACTGTCAACAAAATCACTGTAAAGTATCGTCACCCTATTCCTAGATTAGATGAAATGTTAGATGAACTACATGGTTCTTGCATATTCACTAAAATTGATTTAAAGAGTGGGTATCATCAGATTAGGATGAAGGAAGGTGATGAATGGAAAACAGCCTTTAAAATGAAACATGGTTTATATGAGTGGTTAGTTATGCCATTTGGATTAACTAATGCACCTAGTACATTCATGCGATTAATGAATCATGTTTTGTGTGCTTTCATTGGCAAATTTGCAGTTGTTTATTTTGATGACATTTTAATATATAGTAAGAGTTTAACTGATCATATTGAGCATTTGCAAATGGTACTTGAGGTTCTGAGAAAAGAAAAGTTGTTTGCTAACCTTAAAAAGTATTCATTTTGCACAAATCATATTGTCTTTTTAGGGTATTTTGTTTCAGCTGATGAACAAACAAAAGTGGTTAGTAGGACATTGTTAACCTTATTGTGATCTATTATTCAGAATAACTTGAAGAATTGGGAAAAGTGTTTGCTTCACATTGAATTTGCTTATAACTGGAGCATTCATTCAGCAACTAACTATTCGCCATTTGAGGTTGCATATGGTTTTAATCCACTCACTCCTTTAGATTTATTGCCTTTACCTATTGACGAACAAGCTAATTTGGATGGGAAAAAGAAAGCTAAAGTGGTTAAGCAATTGCATGAGAGGGTGCAACAAAACATAGAGCGACGAACTAGGCAATATGCAAAACAAGCCAACAAAGAACACAAGAAAGTTGTATTTGAACCTGGAGATTGGGTTTGGGTGCATATGCGCAAGGAGTGATTCCCTGCACAAAGGCATTCTAAGCTGCAACCAAGAGGCGATGGACCATTTCAAGTGATTGTGAGGATTAATGACAACGCATAAAAGTGGAGCTTCCTGGTGAGTATAATGTTGGTGCTACTTTTAATGTTTCTAATCTTTCTCCTTTTGATGTAGGTGACGATTTGAGGACAAATCCTTTTGAGGAGAGAGGGAGTGATGGGAACTAAGACGACAACGTATCTACTACATCATGTGAATCATTACACACCCAAGAAGATCCAGTCACACGAGCTAGAGCTAAGAAGATACATGAAGCTTTAAATGGCTTTATTGAGCAGATCTGGGTTGAAAACAACATACAACAAGCAAATCAAAGCTTGGATGATTATCAAGGCATGGTAAACATCATTCAGGTTTAAAAGAAGCTTAGCTGAGGTCATTTGCACGGAATTACACAATTTGCGTCAAAATCGCACAATTAAACCGCAATTTGTAGCAAACTAATATTTCGTGTTATTTTAGGTTATTTTTAGTGATTTTCACGTTTTTTGTATTATTTTTGAGTTGAACATTTGCTTATTTGAAGCCCAATTCGTGGTTATTAGGTTTAGGACTTAGGGTGTTAATTTCCTATTCTGATTAAGATTTGTTTTCTCTATTTAAAATGCTTGTAACCCTAATTGGGAGGAGGCTATTGAATCTGAGATTTTGAGAGACTTTTCTCTTTGGTTCATTTCAGAACTTTACAGAACTTATTCTTGTGGCATTCTAACTTGACTTATCATTCTCGTTCTTAAACATTTCGAAGGTGTGGCGTCAACCAACTTTATACCTCTGGTTATTGTTGCGTCACAGACAACGGATCAAGGTTTTTACCTTTGGTTCTTGTTGCGACATTTAGTTTTCTTGGAGTTTAGAAATCCCTTGTCGTGCTGTGGGTCTCATTGTTCTTTTTGGGGTTCTCATCATTTGCCCTTTGTGTAAAAAGAATAATAATGTGCATGACTGCTGGCCATGTTATATATGTATAATAGGGTCAACCAAGAATAGCTTCCTGTAGCTAGAAAGACAATAATGGCTAGCTTTGCTAATGGCTAGCTTTGCCCATGGCTAAGGTGTGAATGATGTAGAGCAAATTAAGAGCATTTTCAACAATCCATCAAATCATAAAAGGGATACATTTCATTAATCCAAAACTCTAACAAAGCAATGAATATAATAAAAATGGGTGAAGTGTTATCTATGGAAAGGGAATGCTATCCACATCTATGACTTTTGGCACATACAAGGTTTGATACCACAATAAGACGATGGTCCTTTTTTAACATACCTGCATCATCAGAAAATGGTCATAGTTGTTCTTGTCTACCAGGCACTACATCACCATACATGAGTGACCACCAAGGAGCCGCTAGTCATAACTTACTGGATTTTTATCGTTGGTGGATAGCCATACCAACCAATTACAAGGTTGCAACTATTACTAGCCTCAGCCTAATTGTATCAAGTTACATTGACTCTTTGTTTGTTTTCAAGAGCTAGTAAAATAAAATATCTAGAGGTTCAACCCTTTATGCGTTTCTAAGAGCCAATGTAGTAAAAATGTGTAGAGATATGTAACATTTTCCCCATCTATGGAGGCTAAGTAAAAAATAAAGTCCGGCCTTTAATCCATCATTGGAAGCTGAGTAGCTATAATAAAATCAACCTGTTGTCCATTGATGGGAACTAGTAATAAGGATATGTAAAGTAGATGTTTGCCCCTTTGTCCATCCCTAGGAGCTCTATAGATGTAAGAAAATCAACTTGTTATCCTTTGTTGAGAACCATGTAAGTTTAGCAAGATAGTCTCTTTACTATTGTTGGGAGCTTGTAAGATGTAGTAACAAATGTTGCAATAGAGATCATGGCCATCACAAATGCCCAGCTACATTGTAGAGATAAATGTAGCCACATCTAGACATCTATACGAGAATAATGTTGAAGTAGATCATGTTTGTATCATTCCTAGCGAAGTGGGTAAGTGCCGCTTCTAGCAATGCTAACTCTCTTGTGGTCATCAGTAGAAAATAGACTATAACATGTCTAATGTAAAAATATATCATGTGGGCCCTTTTTAGTCACTAGTCAAAAGCTCATCTTGTTAACGTAGCACTACACAAATTATAAATTCCAAAGCAATACAAATTCATCATTCAATAGTTGGTAAAGAGAATTAATTTAATTTAATTAATTGAAGGTTGGATTTGCTTAAAGTAAAGAATACGAAAAATTTAAAGTAGCATTTAAGTGCTTAAAGTACTTTGTCTAGAATAAGAGGGTGTAGTAGAAGTAAAAATTAAAAATTTCAACCTCTTTCAACCCATTTAGGATTTTTATAAGTCCATTGACAATTAAGGAAGATTCATGGTTATTACCTCAATGATACATGCCTCATTGGTGCATTGTTATTATCCACAACCAAGCAAAACTCCTTTAGCGATGATCTATAAGTACGCTTAGGGATTAGAAAAAGACTAGATTTCAATGTTACTAGTGATTGGGAATCTAGTTGCAATTTCTTCCTTTTGGTAGAGAATATTTAGTGGCCAAAATCTCTATATGAGAAAATTAGAACATTAGTGTTTTCTACACGTATTGATATTAATAAAGAATAGAAGATTTGCTATTTTAATGCAATTAGAATTGCCAAAGTTAATCATCAAGTCAAAACAAAAAACTCGAAAAGAGAAGACTTTCCTTCCTTTCCCTTTTTTCTCTTCCTTACCGCACACCACATTCCATGTTGGACAAGAAGCACTAGCCTTGGACTCCCTTGCCAATATGCTACACATGCCTTATCCCAATGGACAAGGATTCAACTATAGAGTCCCTTAAGGACTTAAATGTCATTTTGATTCTTTTATCCTTAGTTTCAAACAAATCCCAACTTGAATTAATTAAATTAAATTAATTCTCTCTACTAATTTAATCTAGATCTTAGTTTGTTTCTCTTGTGAAAATACTATTTCTACATAAATTGATCCATATCCATAAACTTAAATTTATAGAAATCTCAATTCCTATAATACATTAAATGTGTGACCCTCTAGGTTTCCATCATGATGGCAATAAGAAACACTTAAAAACCAATAGCGGTATCTAACAACACATTATGGTAAACAAAACTAATAGAGAAGTCAATGGCTTTGACAAACCTGTCTACAATTGATGCACTTGTGTAATTTAATTCTTAAATTATTGATATCTCAATTAAGCAAGATGCATGTTGTGTGTCATTTTCCTTAAAGCTTGATATATCTTTCTTTAATTCCCAAGATAGATATGTTTTGAAGAAACTTTCATTCTTGTCATGACTATGGACTTTGTAAATAGTCTCATCTCAATCAAAAGATAAGAGATATTTTTTCTCATAAACTTGAGAGGTACAAATCCTATCTCAACTTAACCATTACTCTAATGTGATTTGTTATGCACCCAACGATTATATTACTTGCAACCCCTTGAAGTAGTTGTTTTTAACAATATCAAAGTACATAAGTCCTTCCATTAAATAATGGCAGTTTCGAGTCAAAGGATTGTTAGCCTAGATGATGGCAATTCAAGTGGGGGTGAATTGGGTTTGTTAAAAACCTTCAACAATTTTCAGAACCAAAACAACGAACAAACACAAGCAATTCGCAAGCAATTAAAGATTCAAATAAATAAATTACAAAAATTGAAAGATACAGCTAAAAGTATCAAACATTTCAATTTCTCTTGGTTTGTTACCCTTTTTGGTGCCTATGTCCAATCCTCAAGTTTCTTATGCTTGAGATTTAATCCACTGACATTAGCTTCAATGGGTGCTAGTGAAACTAAGTACAATAGCTTCATCGATGTTATCAATCATTTAATCCCTTGTTACAAACCTTTCAACCTTCCCTCTTTCTTAAGGATGGCCTTAGATCTAACAAGAACCCAACACTCTCTCACTTGTTACAATGAAAGAGAAAGAAAAGGAATAAGATCACAACTTAATTGAATAAACACACTTTAGAAAGTTGATGAGGAAGACATTTATGCTTTTGCTTAAAAGTTAGGATCGCACTTTCTCTTTTTTTCCTTAACCTTCGATGGCATTTATTTATTCTCTAAGAATACTCAATCAAGACTTTTAGCCATTGCCTTAGAATTGGAAGAGAATCTTTCTTAATTTGGAGTCAAAACTTGCCTTTCAAACTTTAGTTCCAAAACTTTTTTACGTCTCTTGACCATTGGTGTTGAATGTTTACAAAGGAGTTAGACCTTTTTCTTTATGTTAGAACTTTCTCATTGAGTCTTGTGAGCATAGCAAAATAGTGAGCTTTGAAGGTTTGGAACCAAAAGCATGGTGTTGGAACTTTTTGCTTTGACAAGTGAATGTTAAAACTAGTGCTTCAAAAGTTCCTGCATTTAATCCTTGGTGTTGAAACTTTTTTTAAACATAAAGAAAAATTGAAAACTATAGCTTAAAGAGTTCTACGCCCTTTTTTTTTTTGTTCCACACCCTTTTGCACAAAGATGCATTTTGAAAAGCTTTTAAGAAGTAAACTTAATTTCTTTTCGAAATCTATTTCATACAATAGTTAACCAAGACACTTAATCTTAGAAACATAATTCCAAAATTAAAATACAATTAATCCCTTTCTTAACAATGAAAAATCTAAAATTGACTTTCCAAAAATGAAATTTAAGCAATTATATTCTAAAATTTGAAATCATCCCTTTTAAATTTTTAAATGAATTTTCACCATTAAAATTAAAACAACAATGGTCACTTACACTCATGTGATAGATAAGAAATTACTAATGACACATGTATGTAGGGTTCTCATGGTAAGTTAGTCCAATGCGCTCACTTACTTTGAATCACCCACATATGATACATGACTACATGAGAAGAAGTCTTATCATTTAGTAAAGTATCACATATGATAATCTTAATATCACTAACGTCTCATTTCAATGATATAACTGACTAACAAATGATTTAAAAATGTTGCTATAACATGATATGGTTCTTACTAATTGCTATAGCTATTATCACCTTTTGATGCAATAAATATCTTAAGGACTTTATTGATATTAATGTATATGAAAGAATAACAATTAATATACAATAAATAAATTACTTATATATAAATATCGTAACAATAAGTACAAATAAAGTTGGCTTAATAGCACACTCTAATAATCTTTGACTTACATCACAATGAACTATTACTATCTTTAATCCTACTAGCTTTCACATGTCTATCATACTTTTGTTGAGAAATGGCTTTAGTTAGTGAAAGTTAGTGGGTTTGCGACATTCACCTTTGTCACAACTCTGCTAATAGCAACATCACCTTTTTACACAAAATCTCTTAGAAGGCTATATTTCCACAGTACATGCCTTGTTTGTTGATGAGATCGTGGCTCCTTAGCAAGTGCCACTACTGTAGTGATGTCATAGTATATGATCATTAGATCGATAATGCTAGGCATAACACTAAGATCTATAATGATGATGCGGATTCAAATTATCTCGAAGCCACAATATTCTTGGACTTTATTGTAGTATTGTCAACAACTTCTTGTTTTAAGCTCCTTCTACTCACTATGCCTCCATTCATGCAAAACAAAAAATTGCTTTATAAGCTTAAATCACCTAATCTATCTAGAAGCTAACATCTGTGTAACCATTCATAACTAGCTCCTCATATTTTCCTTAAACCAGGAATGTATCTGTCACGCCCCAAAATTGAGAGCGAAATAGACGTTGTACACTTGTGAGAGGATCCCACAAATACACAAGGCTCGGAACCTACTTAATTCATAATGTATATCTCATAACTATGAATCCACATAAATTAAGATCCACAATCTCAAAATAAAATCTAACTTTTAATAACCAAAGTTTTACTAGGCCAAAAATACACAAAATTATACAACTCCATCAATAACGTTATAAGGATCTCCAAGGGGATCTAGTCTACAATGATCTATCT